GCTCGCCGGAGTCCCACCCGAGCCTACAGCTTCCCCGGCCAATATGGGGTCGCAGGGTCGTATTCCTCTTCGGCAGCCCAGCAGCCGCCGGCTCCGGGCCAGCACCAAGGGAACATGAATCAGGTAGGTCTGAATGCTCAGGGGTCCTGCTGCCAGGCCTTCTGGACCGCGCTCGCTTCTCTGCTCCCCCTGGGGCCAGGATTCGCATCAGTGTGAAGATCTTGGCAAGAATGTTATAGCGAGGGGCTGGGATCTGGGACTCTCCCCGGCTGTGGGAGGGGCGTGGGGTCTAGTGGCTAAAGCAGGAGGGACTGGGTGCTATCTCCCAGCTCTGGAAATGGGGTGGGGTCGTATTATGATCATGAGGGTTAGCCAGCAGCCTGGGGACTCGGGTTAACTATGTCCTTTACCTACCCAGGTGGAGTAGCCAATAGGAGTGTAGGTAGGAATTTCAAACTGGGACCAAGGAATTTTGGTTTTTCCCTCCTTTGTTCTGGGCAGTTCTCTCCAGCTATTGAGGGGGACAGACACTATGTCTCCCTCCAAGAAAAGACTCTTCCTTCACTTTCTGTAAGTGGGGTAAAGTTTAGATAAATCCATTAGGTTTCATTGTGTTATGGTTTGGGTAGGGATCTGCTGCCTGTGCACTTTTTAAAAGATGTTCGGCTTTTCTTTGTAACTAAGTTCTAGGCCCATGGAGGTTCCATCTAGTCATTATGCTTGCAACAGGAATATTGTGGTGATAATAAAAGTTTTCTCTTTTCCTTTTGGTTGATGGTAGTGTCCTGCTTTTTACTTTAGGGGTGCGATTTTCCCAAATGGTCTCTCCCCTGGTTTCTTTTTTAATTTGGGTGGTGGCAGCGGAAGTCTTATTCCCAAAATCTAGGTTTTTAAGATTTTGGGGGGAAGTTTTATACCAAAGCCTGGTAGATAAGGCTTTGGGGTAATTGCTGGCCACCACTCCTGCATGTATCGTGCCAGAGTGGGGAAGGAGCCGTAACAGGTAGGGGCCGAGTGTCAGCACTGCTAACTACTGGTTGTGTGACAGCAGGCAAGAAACTGAGCGACAAACTTTTCTTGAGTCAGGGCTTTGTAACCCTTGGCTGCCCCGATTCTTAAGACAACAGGCTGTTCTCTCCTCCCCCCCTCCCACCCGGCCCATCTGGAATGGGGGGGCACAGTTTATCTACTCATCTGCTTCTCACTGGGCCTTGACGCCTGTCTAGGGCAGGCATGTGCCACTTTCCGCTGAGCGTGTCTGTCTCTCCCTTCCAGCCCCCAGTGCCTGGCATGGAGGACGGCATGGGCTACCCCAACCAGCAGCAGCAGATGGCCGCCTCCAACCCACCTCAGCCACCTCCGCAGCATGCCGGCCACCCCATGGGCAGCATGGGCCAGCAGCAGGGCAGCCCGTCCGGGAACCAGCACCTGCAGCAGAACTCGGGTGCCTCCTACAACCAGCATGCCTACGCCGAGGGGCCCAAGCCCAAGAAGGGGCAGCAGCTGTGGAACCGCATGAAACGTGAGTCTGGCCCGGGTTAGAGTGGGGCTGGGAACTAGGACTCCTGGGTGCTCAGTCTGGTGGGTTAGAACAGGGGGAAGGGGGCGGGAAGGCAGCAAAGTGCAGACTAGTGGTTTGAGCAGGCAGCTAAGACTTGCAGGTTCTGTGCCCGGCTCTGGGGGTTAAAGCAGGAAGAGGGCTGGAACAGGGAGACGGGTGCTTGGCTCTCCCGGGCTCATGGTCACCGCCCGTAGCCAGCTCTTGGCGCACGGCTCTCATGAATGACTGTCACAAGGAGAGATGTACGATCCCGTTTCATTAGTTAACTGGCTACGTGTTACGTTTAACCCGTTAACCGACTGCATGAGGGATGGCTAGAGCGGGTGCCGCCAACTGCGGACAAAGGCTGCTCCGACCCTACCCACAGTACGCCCTGCAGGGTTGGAGAAGCCCCTTGCCCAGGGCGGGTGGGGGACTGCCCCAGCCCCCACCGGTTAATCATAACTGGTAAGCCTCGCCTGTTAAGGGTGAGACTTACCGGTTAACCGTTAACATCCCGAGTAAGAATGCCATGTCACTCGCCGGCTCCGGTCCTCGCGTCTGCTCGCGCCGCTGACTCGGACCAGCTGGCAGCACAAAGCTGTCCTGCAGCGCGCCAGCTCTTGACATGGTTCCCGTCGCTCACCCTTTGCTGGGGGCGGATGAGAGAGTCGTGGGGGCCCGGCCTCACTTGTGGAGTCTGGCAATGCGCATGTGTGCTAAGAAACAGACATCACAAACCCGTAGTCCCGCCTCGGACTCGTTCCCTTGTCTGTAAAACAGTGGAAATTCCCCTCCCCACCACAGGGGGGCGCTCTGCGGTGGAGACTTTCCTCTAAGGGGCATAATACATGTTCGCCTTCTGCCTTCTCCAAGCCAAGCCTTCCCCTCCCCTCGGAGACCTCAGGGTTGCTTGCCCTGTGCTTGAATGCAGTCTCCTGGGGTGGGGCACGGAACTGGCTTTCCGGGGTCCTTCAGCTGATGCAGCCACTTCTGGGGTGGGATGCAGGGCTGTTTATACCGGGGTTCCGCAGGGATAGGGTATGTGTTCTGGCATCAGCACGACAAAGACGACATAGCTGTTCCAGACAGGAATTGAAGGAGAGGGTTCCAAGTAAAATCGGAGAGAGGGTGTGTGTTTGGCTTAAATCAAATGTAGTTTGGGGGTGTCTTCTCAAGTGAGTCCCTCTAGCCCAAGGATTCAGTAAACTCAGAATTCCCTTCCTGCTTCGAGCTATCCAGTAAACCTCTCTCTGGTCTCCACAGACGCCCCTGGAGCCGGCGGCCTGAAATTCAACATCCAGAAACGCCCCTTTGTGCTAACGAACCAGAACTTTGGTGCCTCAGACCAGCACAGCAACTTTGGGCCGCAGCAGAACTCGGAGAAACATCACAACCAAGGGTACGTGTCTCGCTGCCCGGCCGCGCCGTCCGTCCGTCACGCCTGGGGCCCACCGGCGAAGGCAGAGGCCGTGCAGGGCGGGGAGTGAGCGCTCCGAAATAGAATCCCACCGCTGCCCCTGAACTCTGTGGGCCAGCTCTCCTCCCCTCTGATTGTCCTAGTAACTCGTCTCAGCCCCCGGTCTGACTTGGATTCCTCTTCCTGGAGTTATTTCCAGGGAGTTCTCAGTCCAAAGGTGCCTTCCGGCTGTGGAATCTATGGGAGGGGACGGGAAATCCATGGGGGCATCAAATGGGACGCAGGATTTCAGCAGGGGCTTGTCCGATGGCGTCAATACTTCCCGTGTCTTCTGGAAACACCTAACTGGTCTGTCCCTGGTTTGCCCATCAGCTGGGGATCGGTCTACGCCTTGGACCGCAGGCCTTTCTCCCCCATCCCAAACCCTCCTTCAGTGGCTTGTGCTAGGCCTCTAACGTCCGGCTTTCATTGTCCTTCCCGCAGCTCGTCGGCTGGCAAGCCGGAGGACTGGCCCCAGGACATGAAGGAGTACGTGCAGCGCTGCTTCACCGCCTGCGAGTCGGAGGAGGACAAGGACCGGACGGAGAAGCTGCTGAAGGAGGTGCTGCAAGCCAGGCTGCAGGACGGCACGGCCTACACCATCGACTGGAGCAGGGAGCCGCTGCCGGGGTGAGCCCCCCTGCCGGCGGGACGGGGGTCGGGAGGGGGCTGAGTCGGGATTTGTGGGGTCTTCCCGGCTCAGGGAAGAGCTGGTGGCTGAGGCTCCCTCAGCGAACGCCAGTGATGCTCTGACGCCCGGCGGCCTGTCTCATAACACCCGCTCTCCCCTCCAGCCTGGGCAGGGACAGCATGGCGGAGAGCCCCAAGAAGAAGCGCTGGGAGGTGTCTTCTCTCCATGCCCCCCGGGGCTCCGTGCCCTCCGGCCTGTCGCAGCAGCAGCAGCAGCAGCAGAGGGGCAGCGGGGCGGGCAGCGCGATAGGCTCCCAGTCCCAGCGTGGGGGGGGCGGCGGGGCCGGGCGGGCCCGAGGCAGCAGCAGCTTCCCCACCAAATTCGGGAACCGCAACGTCTTCATGAAGGAGAACAGCTCGTCCTCCAGCGCCGGGTCCCGCTCCCGCTCGTCCTCGCGCTCGCCCGGCCGCCGCTTCCGGCGCAGGTAGGGGCAGCAGGGCCAGGCCTGCCCAGCCGGGCCTCGGGGAGCCGTTACTCATGCCAGGGTGCAAGGGGGCTGAGATCAGGGAGCCCTCGCTAGACTCTGAGGACCTGATGGTGTTAAACGTGGGACAAAGGGGCCCAGCCAAGCTGGCGGCCCTGTCCCCAGCCCAGCTCAGCCCCCGGGCCCTCCACAGGGCGTCAGAAACCAAGTTAACCCGCTGCCCGGACAGGAGGGGAGACCATATTGGAAATGGGATCCAAGTGCGACTGCCTGAGTCTGCAGAGAGCCTGAGCCCACAGCTCTGCGAGCAGCCCTGAGCTTCTCCTCCTGAGGGGTCCTCGCTCCCCCCCTACCAGGAGAATGGGGGCAGGCGCTGGGGAAGAGCCCTTAGCCCCTGCCAGATTTGGGGGGTGGGGCCCCAGGGTTGCTGGGGGCAGGGCCGAGAGGCTGCCCACTAACTGTGCCTCTTTCGGCAGCGATTCCCATTCGGACTCCGACAGCTCCTACTCGGGCAACGAGAGTCGTGTGGCCAACCGCAGGAACGTGCCGAAAAACCGGGGCCGAGGGGGACACATGGAGCGGGGCCGGATGAGGATGCAGAGGGGTAAAAGGTACGGGCAGGAAGCGGGGTGGGGAGGGGGCTTAGTTAATGAGGCACTTGGGGGCTAAGCTGTGGCTGTGCAAAGAAGCAAGGATAGAACCTCAATGCGCGGACCAGCTCTGGAAGGGGGGTGGTCTAGTGATGGGGGGGTCA